TATCATCGTCGTCGTCATCATCATCATAATTAAGTTCAGCACATACTTGCTCGTAAAAAAAATTAGTGACTGCGAAATCTTTTAAACAAAAAATTCGGTGTATTTAGAAACACACGCACACGCACGCACGCACACAGGCACGCACATTCCCACACAAACAGAAAAACACACACACAAACAGAGAAACACACACACACATACATACATACATATACAATAAAATACATATATACAGCAAACAAGCAAACAAACAAGGACAAACGGTTTTTACGATTCGCTTGTTGTAAGAACAATGATGGTGACGATGATGATGACGACCATGATGATAATGATTACATTTATAGCATTGCTAATGATAATAGTTAATAATAATAAAAATAATAAAATGAACTTTGTTATAGTAAAATAATTGTAGATGATAATTTCATCTTGTCAAATGTGATGCGGTCGAAGTGAAACAACGACCGACGAGTGACAGATCACTTTATTCATTTTTTTGAAATTGCCTCAATTTTTTTTCTCTCTCTCTCGCTCTCTCTTCATCTTTTCTTTCCCTATCTTTTCATTTTCCTTTCTTTTTTCTCTCTTTCTATCATTTTCTTTCATCTTTCTCATTCTTTCTCTTTTTTTCATTCTCTCTTTCTTTAATTATTTGCATGTTACCACTCTTTCTTTCTCTCATTTTTTTTCTCTTTCTCCTATTTTCTCACTTTCTTTTTCTCTCTTTTCTTATTTTTTATTTCTTGTTTCCCAATTTCTTTTATGCTCCACTTCTCTATCTGTCTCATTCTCTCTCACTCTCCCATACACACATTTTCTCTCTCTCTTTCTCTCTCTCTCTATCTTTCTTCCTCTCTCTCTTTCTCTCTCTCTCCATTTCTTGGCACGTGACCAAAGAAGAAGTTAAGGCGGGGTGGATTGGCTGAGGTGTGCAAGTGAATATTGATTAACCGTCCAATGCAGTCAAACTGAAAAGAATAAAGGTGAGCTGGAACAGTTATTATTATTATTATTATTATTATTATTATCATATTATTATTATAATCATCTTACGCAATTGACTGTGATAGGAACACGATTTGAACATATTTTAATGCCGATTCTATTTCTCTTTTTGCCCATTTAAAATGTATGGCGAGCATTGTAGAATATCTATATAAATAATTAACATTATCAGTTTTATTACTTCAACTTTATAATTACAATGTACGTTTTTTAAAATGAAAGGATGTTCTCATTATTACTTGTTGTTGTTGTTATTATGGTTATGCACGTGTTGATGTAATTATTATTATTATTGTTATTGATGTTGTTATTGTTATATTATTATAACTGTGGCTCTCTCTGAATGGTTGCCTGTGCTTCTGTTATAGATACAGGTCGGTTTTTAAATTTTTAATGTTCTCACTGTAGTTACAAACATTGCTGCAAACACACACACACGCACGCACACACACACGCATGCGCACGCACACACGCGCACACACACATCTAACACAACTTAACATACACTTTTAATCCAGGAAAGTTAGTATGAACATGAAAAACAATGTATTTGTGCCATACATATTGTATACATATCATATAAAAGCATATAAAAATGTGTGCGTTTGTATGTGTGTGGTGTGTGTGTGTGTGTGTCTAAATTTATGCATATACCTTTGCTAAAATGCTTACATACGTACAGAAAGACAAACATAATATTCGATTAAATTTCTTCAAGACAGACATACACATTTTTATATATGTGCGTGCGTGCCTGCGAGTGTGTGTATGTGAGCGCGTGTGTGCGTGTATTTTACTTATTAAACATTTCTTAGAAGTTAACTTTTGAAACGTTTCATTTTGACTTTTTTATTTGTAAAATCATTTAGAAATAAAATTGATTAAATAAGCTTAACTCTAAAAATATCCAATAACACACCTGCAAACACCAAAACACACACCACACACACACACACGCACGCACACGCGCACACGCACACACGCACAAACAAGGTGCGCTCAGGTAAAAGGAAGTCTTGCGTATCCATTTCATTTTTATACACGTGGTCGCTCGCGATTCGTTGCGTCATCGTCGTCGTTTTCATCATCTTTTTCCTCTTTTTCACCGTCGTCATCGTCCTCATCTTCTTCCTCTTCATCTTCATCATCATCGTCGTCATCACCATCGTTCAAACGACAACACACTTGCACTCATTATTATTATATATCAATATAATCATAATCGTCCTTATTAATTTTTTATACCATCATCGTCATCATTTCAACTTTAACCATCTACAATTATGAAACAACAACAACAATAACAACAACAACCACAACAACAACAACAATAACAACAACAACAACTACAACAACAATTGCAACAACAACAACCACAACAACAACTATTATTTTCATGTTTATCATCTTTTCTTCTTCTTCCCGTTATTATTATTATTATTGTTGTTGTTGTTTTCCTTATTCTTATTATTATTATTGTTGTTGCTACCGTTATTGTTATTCTTATTGTTCGCCACGCATGGCTGGCTTTCCATATTTAAAAGAAGGAACCGAGTGAGCTTCTGGCGTCGTACCGTTCTATTAATTTTCCGCAGTTTTAATTATAATTAATCATTATTATGACATATATTTATTTTATTAATTATTTTTAAATGATTTTAATTTGTTTCTACGTGGTTTGATAAAGTTTAATTGTGAGTTTAGATGATTAGTTTCATCGCTTGTGTGGCCGAAAAAGGGTATGTTCTGTATCTGAGAATTAATTTTTCAGACGAGACTATGCGATTTTTAACATTGAAAAATTCAATTTTGTGTTTGGAAATTAGTTATTTATGTAAATTTTCAGTTAATTGATTGATTGATTAATTAATTAGTAGTAATAATTAAAAATGCGGTATATTTTTTAAATTTTAAAAATAAATTAGATTTTTTTCTATGAAATTAATACATTTTTATTTATTTTCAACTTTAGTAATAGTAATTCATGTTTTTCAGGGGTTTTCCAAAACTCCGTCCCAAAAGTCAAGGTCACAAAAAGCACAAAGGTCACCAGTGAGGTTTCATTTTGAAGAATTTTCAAACTGGAAAAAGTTGAAGTAAAACAAAAAAAGAATCGTAAGAATAAGTTTATATTTTTAAACTTATATACAAACAGATATATTTCATGATATTGGTTAGCATAAATAAATTTTGAATCTAGTAGATAAGTATATACGCAAATTTATTTGACTTTAAATAAATGTTTATTCTTGGTACAATTAGTAAGATGTTTTTCCAATAATGGTGAAGAAGCAGGTTCTTATGTGATGCAGTTATTTATGAGGTCCCAACAATGATTTGCCTAGCTAGTTAGGCAACTTTTATATTTCACTACAAACCAGATAGATAAGTATTACTGTTAGAAACTCTAGATCATAATTCTCAAACTAGTTTATAAAATATTTCATAGAGGTAGGCTTTCGAGCCAGATTTCTTCATCATCATCTCTATAAAAATCTGGCGGGACATTTGAAAACATCTGATCGAATTATTTTGAAGTAACGCCTATCTGTTTATTGTAAATAATTACACGAATTTATACTAATTTCAAATTAAAACGAAGCCGAAGAATGAAAATCCGTCAGAAGAAAGTGACCGACCAATCGGGAAAGAGGGGAGATTTAAATGTGGGATGATCCTGTGGGACGGTTACGACCTTCCGGATCAACGCGCACACATATTTTTAAGTCTTCCTTTTTTCTTCATTGGCTCACTATTGCGCCTGTCTGGAATGAAACTGGAGGTGGATGGCTGACTGACATGGGTGCATGTGAAATGGATTTGAATGAATGAAGAGTCTATAGTGTAAAAATGAACTGGTAATCATCGATGATGGATAAATTAAGATATTTTTAAAAAATAAAAAAAATGGGTATGAATAAATGAGAATTTAATTCGTGAATCAAGTACAAAAAATATAATATTAATTTGTATTTCTTTTCAATTCATTTTAACATGTGCGATATGAAGTCATTGCACAAAGTATGACACAACTCAACATCGGAGAAAACATTCCTTTTTTCACGAGTTCTCGTCTTTCTTCCACATCTTCTTTCTATTCTCTTTTTTCCTCGTTCTCTCTCCTTCTATCTTTCTATTCTTTCTCTAACAATCCTTTCTTTTACGCCCTCTTTGTTTGATTCTCTATTTCTCCTTACTTTCTCATTTTCTCTTTTTCTCTCCTCTCTCTCTCTCTCTCTCTCTCTCTCTCTCTCTCTCTGATTTTATTTCCAACATGTCAGCAAATAAAAAAAAAACAAAAAACTTCATCCGGACAGTCCACAAAACGATAAAAACCGCCTTTTGAGCGTTCGACACGCTAGATCTTCTTACAATAACCATCAATTGAAACTTTACTTCTAAGTAATTTTGAAGAGAAGATCTGAAATAAGAAGACTCGCCTGTTGGCAAAGTTGAATGAAAAACCTAGTAGCGGAGTGGCACGCCATGCATGTAGCGCTTCAAAAATATATACACGAATGCTCTACATTGAATACTAATGAATGCTTTCCCACATAATTAGTTAGTTTTGATAACTTTCTACGTTCAATAGGATCTGAATTGAATGTATAGGCAGTATTTTGCTTAAATCTTTTTTTTTATTAATAAAGTTAACTGAATTAAGTTTTTGGTTAATTTATATTTTCAACAAAAAAATACAATTAAAACAATGTAATTAATAATTAGCTAACACAAAATTACTAATAATTAGCTAACAAATAGGACATTCCGCAACTGGAAAAGAACGTCATATGTATGCGTTCAATGGATGTGTTGAATTAGTTATCATTTGATCGATTTTTCAAAGACTTCTGAATAAGCTGACAGTCATAAATATATAAAAATTAGTTTTTAATATTAAACATCATTACAATTTAACGGATCCAAGCAAATTTACTTAAAATGTTAATTTAACAAACCCAAAAAATGATTTAATCATTTAATTAAACTGTTAATTAAACTGTCAAATAAATATTTTTGATATATACACGGCCTATTAACTCAGTGATAGAAATCCTCTTTGCATTTTTCATTGCATTAGGACCAGATGAATCAAAATTTTTTTCATGCTGCTTATCTGGGAACATTTCTGCGACCAAAGGTAAAAACCCATATGCAACGTAATCTAATAAATTATAGTATAACAAAGTTGATGGTTCGCGAAACTCGATAAAGGGATACTGTATATAAAACGTTTTGCACTTGGTAACACAGAGGTCGTATTTTTTGTGAATCACAGTTTGAAAGTTGAGATCATTCATGGTTTCGATTAAAGAAGAAATTCTTGCTTCAATTATTTTTTTTTCGTTGCAAATTTCAAGTTTAGATTCTTTTATTAGTTCACCATGATACATTTGGAACAGTTTTTCAGTTAAGTCAACGAAATCCTTTATAAAATTATCAATGAAAACTTTCAAGGCGTTACCGTTTGAGCAAATTTTTGATATTATTTCAGATTTCACAGATGTTTCTTCAAAAATTTCCAGTTTTTCATCATAAATAACTAAATTTTTTTGAAGTTCAGCGATTGTAGATTCAATCTTTTTTTTATCCTCTTCAACTTTTGAACTTATTTCCGTGAATTTATGTTCTTTGTGCTGAAATATGAAACACTTTAAACAAATGAACTGGTTGCAGTCCTGGCAATAGATGTCTATATTTTGATCGTGAGTAAGACACTTCTCATAATCAACTTTCTTTATGGCCTCATTGTAACTTGATGAATCAACATTAACGTCAACCACCTCGTGTTTCTGGTTCATTTTGAACTTATTATGCATTTGAAGACAAGACAGACAGAGATGTTGTCTGCAGTGGGCACAATACTTCTCCGCCACTTTTTGACCATCTCCACATGTATCGCAATAATTGTTGCCAATCATTTTTACTTCGTATTTCTGTTTAATTTTTTCAAACGTTGTGATGAAATTGTTATCAGGAAGTGAATCTAGGTTCTGAGGTCTGGCGTGAACTTCCCCACAAACGACACATTTTATTTTTTCTACTGTTTCGGAATTTTTTTCCAAACAGGAAAGACAGTGCGAATGTTTACAAGGAAGAAGTTTTGTTTTCACCTGTTGACAGCCATCACAAGTCAGTAGATCGGCCATGTCAGGAGATCTCTCTAGCAAATATATAATAAGCATTTTGTTTTTAATATTTGGGAAAATGAAAATTTTATTGTAAAACTTACTTTGTTTTTATTCAATAACGAAATTCAATCGTTGCGGAATCACTATTACCCGAAAGTGAAAACTACCTGTGAATCACTATTACCAGAAAGTAAAAGTGGGAATTTGGAATTACCTTGTGGCAAATGTTTGCAAAGAAATAACAATTTTTGTAAGCTTTGATATAAATTTAATTGCCTAACAAACAATTTATAATACGTTTATTCAACGCCAGACAGAACATGACGACACTTGTGGTTGGAACAACTTTCGAGTTTTTTATTCTAACATTTTATTTATATTCATCGCAAATTTTTGAGAGCTTGTTCATTAAAGGCTCTGGTGTATTAACCTCAAAATAATTACGTTTTTCAATCACTAGTAAAAAAAACTGGTAATGGACAAATTTGCCCGCAAATTTTTACTCTTCATCACAGAGGATTTAAATTTCAAGAAGAAATTGCGTATAGGTAGTCATCGTTTAGAGCTCTATGATAATAACAAATCTAATTATGTGATAAGTTTACACGATAAAAAAGTTTAGATTGTTCTTTGATTCAGTTATTTCTGATCCAGTCAACAACAATCACAGATAAAACTATAAAATATTAAAAAACATTATATAAACGAAATCTAAACAAAAAAATATTGAGAAAATATATACAAAATTCATTTGTTGCTGACAGTAGAAGCAATTATATTGTCCGAATATGATGAATGATTTCCAGAAAACCTAATAAATCATCAACACTAATATTTTCCAAACAGGAAGAGTTAGACGAATTGTTAACGTGGTTATGGCATACAGCAGTTTTTGGTTTGTTCAATTTAAACTCGGGAAATAAAACTTCAAATTTTTGAAACTTCGGAACATGTAGGTCGTATTGTTCTCGTACAACTGTCCGAGCGTTCAAATTATCCAAGGTTTCTTCTAATGAGGAAATTTTTGTTTCTACGAATTTTTTTTCTTCACGGATTAATGGTTGCAAACCTATTCCTTCATCGACGAAATTTTGGTAACTATCTTCAACATGGTTAATTAAATCCTGTACATATTCATCAATTAAGCGTTTCAGTGCGTCACCTCTCGAATGAATCTCAAATAACACTTCAAACTTATTAAGATCGGTCTTTAAAGTTTGTAATTTTTCTTCGTAAATTGTTAAATTCTTTTGAAGTTTGGCAATTGTAGATTCAATCTTCTTTTTATCTTCTTCAATTTTTGAACTTATTTCCTTGAATTTATGTCGTTCGTGTTGGTGGATACACTTTGAACATATGAACTGGTTGCAGTTTTCGCAATAGATATCTATATTTTGATCGTGAGTCGGGCATTTCTCATAATCAACTTTATTTATTGCTTCAATATAATAATAATTTGATGCATCAGCGTCAACTACCTCATGCGTTTGGTTCATTTTGAACTTATAATGCAGTTGAAGGCAAGACAGACAGAGATGTTGCCTGCAGTGGATGCAGTACTTCTCGGCCACTCTCTCACCACTATCTCCACATGTTTCGCAACAGTTTTTGTTGCTCCTTCCTGCGATGATCCTCTTCTCCATTTTTTTCAGCATCATTATGAACTGGTTATCAGGAAGTGAGTCTAGGTTCCGTGGTCTAACACAGACTTCCTCACAAATGTCACATTTGATTGTTTTATCGTTTTCGGAGTATTTTTTTCTTAAGCAAGACAGACAGTGCGTGTGCTTGCATGGCAGAAATTTTGTTTTCAACTGTCGACAATAAGTGCATATGAATGGATCGGTCATGTTAACAGATCGTTAAATTTAAAAATTTGCAATTTTAAGTATTTTTTTGTTAAAACAAAAATTTGTTTATTAAACTCACTTTTGTTATTTACGCTGAAAAATTCCTCACCAAAATTGAAAGTGGGAATTACCTGCCAGCGAATGTTTACAAAGATATAACAGCATTGATATGAAAATATTGTTTGATGTACACGTGTACTTAATTTTTTTTTAATAATACTAATGAAATTATCATCATTTAGTGAATCTGGCACTCTCTTATCAAGTATTTTCTCCGTTGGTTCAAACTTAATTTAAATATACTCGCGAAAACATCATCTCAGGATCAATTCTCACTCACAATTTAGGTATTGACTCCGTTTTGGGATCTAAGAACGTAGATTGAATTTATTTTGATCGTTTGAATCTTGTTGGAGAAAATGGTAACATAAAAGACATTATGATAGTCTTTAGTTTAACTAAAAAAATATGGCAATCGAATTTTCATAAATAAATCACAACATGCATTTCTAATTGAATGAGCGAAAGTTTTAAAGTGACGAGTTTCATTTTTTAATAACTTTTGTGCAATTGAATAAAAAATACTTACAAATATGACAACAAAATATTGAACTATGTTTACTATAACCTATTCTAAACTATTGAAACTATTGAAAAATATAAACTATTTATTAGTAGACGCAATTATACCGTTTGATATGCAGGGAGCCTACCAACTCATCAGCACCAATCCTTTTTAGAAAAGATGATTTAGATGCACTCTCGAACTTACTGAAGTATAACGAAGTGGTCGGTTTCTGCAACTCAAACTTAGGGAATGATATCTCAAATTTTTTGCACTCAGGAACATGAAAATCATATTTTTCCAAAGTAATTGTTTGGACGTTCAAGTTGCACAAGGTTTCTTCTAGTGAACAAATTCTTGATTCAATGATGTCTTTTTCTATTGATATTAATTGTTCATACTTTCTTACTTTATTAACAAAATCATCGCAACAACTTTCAATGCGGCCAGTTAAATCTTGGATATATTTATCAATTTCGAATTTTAAAGCGTTAGCTCTGCAATGAATCTTTGATAAAATTTTATCTTTATTAGTATATATATTAAATTTTTGTAATTTTTCTTCGTAAATTGCAAGGCGCTTTTGCAGTTCAGCGATTGTAGACTCAATCTTTTTTTTGTCCTTTTCAATTTTTGAACTTATTTCCTTAAATTTATGTCGTTCGTGTTGGTAGATACACTTTGAACAAATGAACTGATTGCAGTTCTGGCAATAGATATCTATATTTAGATCGTGAGTCGGACACTTCTCATAATCAATTTTATTTATTGCCTCGCTATAGCTTGACGAATTAACATTGATATCAACCACCTCATGTGTTTGGAACGATTTGAACTTATTATGCAGTTGAAGGCAAGACAGACAGAGATGTTGTCTGCAGTGGGTGCAGTATTTCTCCGCCGCTCTTTCAACATCCTCACATGTTTCGCAGTATTTTTTGTTGCTCATTTCCGCGTCGTTCCTCTTCTTAATCCTCCCCAACATTGTAATGACTTCATCATTAGCAAGTGAATTTATGTTCTGTGGTCTAATGTGCAACTGCCTACAAATGGTACACTTGATGATGTTCATTTTCGGATACTTCTTCTCTAAGCAAGAAAGACAGTGCGAGTGCTCGCATGGAAGAAGGATTGTAATTTTCAACTGCTGGCAGTTGATGCAGATGATTGGATCAACCATGCCGACGGAGATCAGGAATACTAATTAATTACTAAGAATTTTTTATCTGGAAATAAAAAAAATTTATTTACCAAACAAACTTTTTGTAGATTTGTTGTTATTACTTTTTGGGACGATCTAATTATAACCTTTAATAACGAAAGCGGGAATTTTCGCCTGGTTGTTTACAAAGAAACGACAACTTTTGTTAGCAGTGTTTTTAAATGACAACTCGATTCCTCAGGCCTGAACGTGTTTAACGTCAATTACATTGCATTTGTTTTTGTTTGATTTATTCGTCATATCAACTGCAAACTGGCATTGCTTAATATAAGTATATGGAATAAGATTGTTGAAACACTTCATTTTGACAAAAGATACTTCTCCAAGTAAATGTAACTCGTAGAAGATATAATTTTGACTAATAAAATAGAAAACGTTGTTCCTTAAAAAATAATTTTGTTTTTAATTTAATAAAATAAAATAATTAAAATTTTAAACGAAGATTTATATTTTTCATTAAGTCAACTGAAACTATTGTAAAAGGTTTGCATGAATGTTGCAATAGAAATTATTTAAAAAAAAATGTCGACACAGTAAAGACAGCTCAATGGATTTTCCACCAAACAGCTAACAAACACGTCACAATATTTGATAGGTTAGTCAATGTTGGATATTTCACAAATGCTTGTATAACCATGACACTACTGAATAATTTGGATTTATAAGTGTCTTGTGAAATTCTAATAATTTTTTTGAAAAAAGACGGAGAACGATTGATTTGATGATCACGCATACTGGGCCTGGTAGAAACTCCACCCTGAACTGACAATCAGATCAGTTTGACTGTAGCCCTGGAGGTGCTGGTTCAATTCGCAGATAGACTCATCTGCTTTGAAATTGAATGAGCCGCATTCGCCTGGAAGGCACTTTATTAAACACTCCAACCTCGAGGCAGCGATCACACAAGAAACATGTCCAGTGAGACGGCAGTTCAATGATGGATTCCAAAACTTTGCTGAAACAATTAATCAATTGGAATTCATAACTCACATCATTTAACATTATTATAATAATAATAACTAATTAATAATGGGCTAAAACTTCTTTAAGATTTTTTATACGAAAATTAAAATCAAATTTCGAAATGAAATAATTACAATAAGGATTAGCAGGAGGGTAGACCTCCAGTTCACAAATAGTTAGCGATCCAGCTCCATTAGCGGGTTGTTGTACGATGACGTAACGATACGAAACGAGATTGGCGTAACATTTCAAGGTGTGCTTGCTACTGATGACCGCCTTGTACCCATACTGACCACACAGAGGGTAGGTCCCTCTGATGATGTCCAATCCTGGTCCAGAGTAATTCACTGACGTCAGCCCGACTATGAAATAATCTAGTCGTTCGGCTGAAAATTTGGTTGCGCGCGTTACTTAATAGTTAAAAAGACGTTGAGGAATCAACTTTTATTTTACAAAAATTAAAAAATGTTGAACTTAACAAAACCCTGATTCACACATATTATCGCCAACAAACAAGAAAACAAGCAAAGGCATGAAACAAAAAGTACAGGCAATATTTCAATCGACTCGTGTATTAAAATTCAGGCCCGCTAGAATGAAATTGGAGGAACTTCGGTTGAACGAGCGACAGTTGGCACAGGCAAATCAATTTTTGTTTATTGCCCAACTTATAATATCAAACCAAAATGACAAAGTAATTCTTTTCAAAATCTTTTGACAATGTCAATTATTTTTGGCATGCAAGCACTTGTCTGCCAATCGTGAACGATCTTTCGCGTGCTCACGAATAATACGCATCCCAATAAAATGGCAATGCCAGCAGTTTTTCGCAAAATGCTTTATTCTCTTCTTAATAAATCAAACGTATGGTAGTATGTTGTAGGTGTGCATGATTATTTTTATTTTTCAGGGAATCCCAATTTCAAAATGTTTTTAAAATTCATCTTAAATATGGAAGTTTGTAGATAAAAGTTGAAATAAAATGTTTTTAAAAGTGGAGGGCCTTCCTTAAACACGTGGCTTGCACCCTTTAAATCCGACACTGAATTAATTACGTCATGAGAAATTCTCTTAACCTCAAAACGCTCTAAAGATTGCTTGATAATTTTTTTTATAAGAGGAATGTAATATCGTAATCGCGGCAATGCTCGCGTTTTTAAACTCCCCATCAATAGGTTCGCAATGATTTTATTGATAATTTTTGTTATGACCGAATTTAAAAAAAATTATGTTCATGTAATTTTTAAAACACTATAGCGAAAGTAATTAGAAATTTTATTTTAAAATAAAAATTGAAGTTGATCCTAAATGCTGGTATTTTTTTTTTATAGTAATTCATTTAAGAATAAATCCTGATCAGACCGCCAAAAGCAACATCAGATGTTAGTTAAAAGAGAAAGAGTTTAACATATATTTTCGCGATTAGAAACATTGTTAGAGCGACGGTCAGGTGTTGAAAAAAATGATTATCTGAGTTGAGAATTTTTAAATTTTAGATTAGGGATGTTAGATTTTGCGATTTTGTAAAAAAACAAGCAAGAATAACAACTAACGCAACATGTTCCTTGAATACAAGTTGACATACTCCACGTTGTAATTATTTATTAGGTCAACAACTGCCCAGTTTGGCCCGCCTGGACCATCAGACGAATGGAAGCAGTGCCCCAACATATAATTTGGATTTGGATCTCCATCGACCATCAACGCCGCGATTGGATGCAAGTAGTTATCCAAGAATGAACTGCTGACCGCTGGTTTGTTGAGTGCCACATTCTTGGTTGCAGCCACGTGCAATGGTAGGATCATTACTAGCGAGATAACGTTTCAAATGTAATAACCAATCATTTCTAAATAAATGCGACAAAGAATTTCAAGATGTTGCAAAAGGCAATCAGTATAGAACATTGCTAAAGTTAAATAAATCTCTGTCAACTTAACCAGCTATGTCAAGCGATTTAAAACAAAATACCGCAAAACAAACTAACCAATGAGAATTAATGGAATTGACAGAGCGGAAAAAAATCTGCCAGACATTTCTCATCCAGACATGTATGGAGCTAATGTTTCATTTAAAGTCTCATCAAAAATTTAAACTTTCCACATCGGATGTAGTATATCGTCGTTGCCTGGCAATCTCTAATACAGATTTCGTGCACTGTTGCATATATTATACAAAATCTTTACATACATACATACTACACACACACACACACACACACACACACACACACACACACACACACACACATATATATATATATATATATATATATATATATATATATATATGCAGTAATTTATGAAATCTACAGAATTCCTAGCGTTAGATTGTTTTTTCGTACATTTCTTAATATTTCGAACCAAATTCTTGTCGTCATAATTTATTTTATTAACGTTAGAGTAATATACAGTTTACTAATTCAGTCTCGAGTGTATTGGACCTATTTCGATTTTTCAATCATCTTCAGCACTTTTTGCAGTTTATCTAGAGAATTTGTATATAACCCAGTACTTGCTTCAGTTTACACTGGTTTTGAACTAAAGAAACTTGAAGATGATTTACGATCAATCGTTAGAAAGATCGAAAAGTTGAGTTGGAAGCTAACTAACGCCGAACATTCTGTGATTTTCGTCAATAATAAATATATATATATATTTGTTGG